TTTATATTAAGTGTCATGTCTTCAAAAAATTTAACATTCTTTTTGGAACCTATTAATAATAATTTAGTTTTTTTTGGGTTGAGAACCAGCGAGTTCGACCTGCACCAATCAGAAATACGATTTAGATCCTCATTCATCTTATTTACAGCATTATTGTGGTCAGAGTACTTGAATGGAAGATACAGTTGCAGGTCATCTGCATACAAGTGATATTGACAGTGGCTTATATTTTCTGTGATATCACCGCTGAATAAAACATACAGAGTGGGTCCCAAAATTGAACCCTGAGGGACACCATGGGTCACCATGAGCTTGTTGGAGCGCTGTTTGGTTCCATCTATCCTAGTCAGCTCAACGCACTGTTGTCTATTTCCAAGGTAACTATGAAACCACTTTATTGATTGGGCACTAACTCCATAGTAAGCCAGTTTAGAAAGCAGGAGATCCACATTTATTGCGTCAAACGCCCTTGAAAAATCAAGCAATAAAAGGATACTAAGGTTCCCCTGATCCTGGGCTGCTAGAAGGTTATCCACAACATCTGCTAAGGCAGTTGCTGTGCTATAACCTCGACGGAATCCAGACTGTCGCTCTGGTAATATATTATTAGTCTCTAGGTATCTTATAAGTTGCTCACAAACAACTTTTTCCAAGACCTTAGACACAAAGGGGAGCAAGCTAATAGGTCTCAAGTCATTCATGGTGGTCGGGTTGCTGACTTTAGGCAGGGGCTTAACTACAGCAACCTTCCAGCTATCAGGGAAGACACCATCTATAATGGACCTATTAATAATGGTTGTGATGGCCTTTAGAGTTTGCGGCAGGGTCAACTGTATCATATTTAGTGACAGACCATCATGTCCTTGTGCATCAGACTTGAATCCTTTGATGGTTTTCAGAACAGTATCCTCCGATACAGTCTGCAAGGAGAAAACTGCAGGTCCGTATCTATGGAACTCAAAATATGTGAGCTGCGATATTGTTACCTGCCCATTGCCCGGTATATTGAGGAAGTGCGCATTAACAAGGTCAGGGTCACTGAGATGTGCTGGAATATCTACAGTCTTTTTATTATCAGCAATTATACCGCTTTTAAGGTTGCGCCAAAGTTTTTTAGAGTTTTTGCTGTAGTTGTTAATATGCTGAGCAAAATAGCATTTTTTTTCAATGTTAATGGCCTCCACCACAAGCTGTTTCATGTTTCTGTAGCATATTCTATGAGCCTCCGTTTTTTGCAGCTTGAAGCGTTCATGGTAGGCATCCCTTATTCGCATCATGGATTTGACACAATCAGTAATCCAGGGGTGTGGTGGATGTTTAAATTTTTTTTTCGTTATGGGGGCATGCAGGTCGAATAAAGCCGTTAAACACTGTGTAAAAATTTCAGCTTGGTTGTTTACACTATCGAGTTCATAAAATTGATCCCAATTAATAGCTTCTAAGTCTCTATTTAGTTGGTCTACCAGTACATTACTTAGTGGCCTGTAACTCACCCACTGAGGAGGAGGTCGTCCTTTTTTTATTTTGAATTCGGCTGAAATTATTGCGTGTGCCCCAAGATCAGGAATGTGTCTTGTGATGACTTTCAGAACTCCTGTGTCACTACAGACAAGATCAATTAATGTTGAACTGTGCTCTGTAAAATGTGTTGGTTCTGTGTTTAACTGTCTCATGTTGATACTGTGTAAAAATTGCATTAACAATTTTGTTTTGGCACTTGTTGTGTCCAAAAGATTAATATTGAAATCACCCAGTAATATCAACACATCTCGACCAGCAAAAGAGGAGACGGAGCTCACAATAGCCTCCAGGAACACACCCACATCCTGCCAGGGTGGTCTATATGCAGTGCCAATTAGGACTCGTTGATTGTTAATGTGTACCCTCAACCACATCTGCTCCACCTCAGAATCCACTGGATGTTGACAGATACGGGCATTTACACCCCTACGAATGTAGAAACCCACACCGCCTCCACGACCACCGCGCACACTGTCCGGTCTAGGGATATGTCTCAGTCGATACCCCGCGATCTTCGGCGCCCTGTCGCTCTCCCCGGCCCTCAACCAGGTCTCATTGATGGCCAAGATGTCTAGGTCCAACTCATCCACGGCCACAATCAACTCTTCATGTCCAGTGCCAAGAGACCCCGCATTGAAGAGTCCAACCATAAGGTTCCTCGATGTTAGCTCTTTGTACTAGTAATTCGAAATGCAGTCAAAGAGAGGACAACAAATGTTGACTTATTTATATACCCAAAAATTTTGGAGTTGTGAATCAAGCGGTGTGTGAAAGCATAATAAAATTCCCATGTATGATAAGTCATTATTTCATTTACAGTTTTTATATTTAATTGGTCTAGATTAGTTATACTTTTAGTAAGCATTATATAAGCTGAATTTTTACAAAATAAAGTTATTGAAAATGATAAAAACCATCTTATTTTTTTAAACCCACAAGTAAAATTTAAATAAAATTGTTGGTAATAAAAATTTACATTTACAGAAAACTGAAAAACAGAAAACAAAATGTACAATAAGTTGTCGACTGAAAATGCACAAAAACAAACACCCTGCAGCTACGAGTCACTTTACGAGAGGGCCGAACACGCGATCGACGTCGAATTGCGACCTGATTTGGTACACGGAAGTACCATCCGCCTGACGGACGTATACACGACCTCGCTTCGTCCACGAATATCTCCACTGCAGCTTTTTGCATTGCCCACGAGCGGCGTGGAAGAGCTGTCTGTTATGACGCGTGAGCCGCTCGTTGATATATACGCGGCGCTCAACCGGGGCGGCCGGTGGGGCTGCGGCGGGCTCGGGCGCCGGCGCAGGCGCCACGACATTACGACGTACGCGCGCCGCCTTCAGCAGGTCGTCGCGCAGTTGTCGGCGCGCTAAACGCACCACCACACGGCGCGGCCGCCCGTCCGCCTCCTTCGGCGGCACGCCCACGCGCTCCGCGAATACCACGTCCCTCGGCTCCAACGCGACTCCCAGTCGCGCGGCGAGGACGGTCACGGACTGGACCACGCTCACTCCCTTCTCCTCCGGCAGCTCGCCTATTTCGAGGTCGGCCAGCAGAGCCTCCTGGTCGCGTTCGTTGAGCTCCTGCCTAAGTTCCACGATGGTGCGCTCCAACTCTGCAGTGTCCCTCGCAACACCCTCCACCTGGCGCTGCTCCACTGCGCCCAGCCTTTGCCCCTGCTCCGCGATAGTGCGCTCCAGCTCCGCTGTATCGCTCCCGTCGACCTCAGCCTGCCGCCGCTCCACCGCGCTCAGCCTTTGGTCAAAACTGTCGAGCCTTGCCGACAGGGTATCCCGAAGGGTGTTCATTTCTTTGCGAAACTCACGCATCTCCGCCATGAACACTGCTAGCTCCCTATCACGACGGCCCCCTTCGCCCCCAGTTGCCCCATCGGAACCATTTGCATTTGATGCCTCAGAGGTAGGCGACGCTTCACATAAGCCCTTCACCGGCGTCTGGCTGTTGTCACCCTTCCGGACATTTTTTTACAATTAGGACACACCCAGTCCCTACTTATATCCGCTTTTTCCGGCAACGCAAGGCAAGCCTTGTGAAATTTTGATGGGCATAAGGAACAGGCAGCGCCACCTGTCGTCGACAAGAATCGACCGCACGCGGCGCAGTTTGGCATGCTTTCAGTCGTTATATTGCTTGCTATGCAATTAGCAATTATACTTCTTGCCACTAGATGGCGTCCTAAAGAGTATGTGAATGTGTAGTTTGGAGGACCGACAATAGATGTCACCGAGCACTAAAAAGTTTTGTTTGTTTTATATATTCTGTTGTAATTGTTTAATAATTATTGATTTTAATTTATTTATAATTTGTTGAATACTGTGATATATTAAAAAGAGTGTTTATGTTTTTAAGATTTTGTAATATTTATTTACCCTCCCCTAGTAAAAAACAAAAATAACCATCAGCTGATTTGAATCACGTATAAATTCTCACAGCACAAAACATTCACAACACAAATACTTCCACAACTAAATCAACACCACTCGAACTAGATAACAACTACTAGAAATTGGTATGTGAACTGAGAATATTTTAATTTTAAGAGAAATTAACACAGAGAACTTGTCAACAGAACGTCCGTGACGTCAAGTCTTTTCTTTACAAAAAACTATGTACAATTTTCGGAATAAATCACACTTATTTAGTTTTTTTTGAAATACAGTAGAACCCGTTTAATACAATCACGCTTAATACAATTTCTCGCATAATACGCCATTTTGCGTCAGTCCCTGTCTCTGGGGCGTCCATAAATTACGTGAGATGTTTAAGGGGGGGAGGGGGTCGGGTCAAAACTCATCTAATCTTATGTTATAGAAAGGGGGGGGGGGGGGGGCTCGGCAAATATCACGCATTTTTTACGCAGTGTAGCCCGTCCTTTGTTTTAGCGCCACTGCCAGTCGAAGGGTAAGGGTACGGCCAGAGTGCACTCAGATTCAGATTCAGACTCAGAAAACAAGCGCGAGAAATGAACAGTGTAGTTAAAGCAGGGTGGCCATAGTGGCCACCATGTGAGGTTCAATTTTTTTTTTAGATGTAGTCGCTAAAGCGACCAACTTCATTATGTTAAAATTTTGTGTTACAGCGATGCGCGCGCATCTTAAAATTTCACTCTCATCATTTTTTTATAACGCGCCTAAAGAAGTATAACTTCAAAAAATGCGTGATATTTGCCGAGACCCCCCCCCCCTTTCTATAACGTAAGATTAGGTGAGATTTGACCCGACCCCCTCCCCCCCTTAAACATCTCACGTAATTTATGGACGCCCCCTTATATACTTTGAAGTTAGTTTAGCAATTTCAAAATTATTACAAACGTAAGTCTAAGTATTTACAAATTAAATTATAAACTAATTTACATTTATAGTTAACATAAACGATGACGCATTTAAGCTATAGTTAATTAGGTAGTTATATAACTACTCCAAATCAAACAAAACAACAGTTTTCACCTGGTACAAAAGCAACAGTAGCTAAGCCATATGGTCTGGTTTCCAGTCTTAACGCCTTCGTCCAACCCAGTAAGCCTGCCTTGCTTGCACTATAAGTAGCAAAACCAGGCAACGGCTGCAGACCGCAATGACTCGCCACATTTATTACTCGAGGCTTTATTCCACTCTGTATTAGAAAAGTGAAATTATTACCTACCAACATTTATATATTGAAGTACAAGCGGCCGCCCGCGATTTCCACGTTAACTTATGTCCCCACTGCTGGGGCACAAGCTTCCCTATGGATGGAATAGGGAGATTGGGCCATGACCCACCACGCGGGCCCAGTGCGGGTTGGTGGGTGCTAACGACTGCAGATGCAGCCGGGACCAACGGCTTAACGTGCCTTCCGAAGCACGGAGCTCGATGGCGCAAGTGGTTAGCGCTTTCCGCAGCGATCGTTGAATTTAAGCAACTTTCGCAGTGGTCGGTCATTGGATGGGTGACCGAAAATTTACTATCTCGAGCTCCTCCGTGCTTCGAAAAGGCTTCTATGCCAGACCAAAACTTCTGCGACGTCAACCACCCCACTTGTTGAAGTGAGTCACGTACACTAGAAGATCAGTCCTCATCAGTTGCTTAGGTACGTTTGCAAAACCGTATTGACAATTATTGATTACATAGTCATAAAACAAAAGCCAGTTTTAGGGTTCCGTACATCAAAAGAAAAAACGGAAACATTATAGTTTTTTGCTGTCCTGTCTGTCTATCATGACCGTTTATCTCGAGAACGCGTGGAGCTATCGAGTTAAAATATAAACCACATATAAGTACTCAAGCCTACGGTGATTTGAAGATGTGAAAAAATCAAGCTAAAAAAAGATACCTACGACCGTTTAAGATTGTAGGGAACACTCGGTGGGCAAGTCCGACTCGCACATGTCCGGTTTTTCATTACATAAATAATTTATGTAATTATTATTATAATTATTACGGTACCTGTTCAAACCAGCCTTAAAAAATTAATTACCTACTCCTAAAAACTAGATGTTGAATTTTTTATTTTAATATCAAAAGGTATATGTGCGACTTTGTAGCTATATAACAATATCATCCATTCAGTCTACAATAATGAATTTATATACTTACTTAAGTTTAAAACAAATACTAAGTGGAGGCGATATAAAAGCAACAGTCCAATTGTAATGACAGATAATATGTATTTAAAAAAAAGTGATAAAACGGTCTTTCGAGTAACGCGCCTACGTATATTTTGTGATTTCATCGATTGCAATGCCAAGAAAAGGCCAAGAAGGTACTTCTCACTTCTTTCTTTTACCTACCGAAAACTTTTCAATCAACTGCGGTACAAACTGATTTTGTTATCCTTTTTTTCACTTTGCGGAAAGTTTGGTGTTTTTCCGTTAGCCAAAGTTAATGGCAAGGGCTTATGATCTGCCTCGGAAAAATATTTACCGAGCCAATTTCATTTTCATCCGCAGCTGCCAGCTTTGATGTCCCTATTATCGAATCGAATTATTATGTTATCATTAGTTAGGTATCTATATATTTTTCCAGTACAAGTAAGTATTACCAGAATCCACTGTTACAATTTTTGATTTTATTGCTGTGTATAAATGGATATTTATGCCTTTTTTACGTGTCAGTTTAGGTATAAGTAGTCATTTAATGGGAACAACAAATGAATGTCTTACGTTCCCAAGTAATAAAAACTCAAAAGAGAAACGCAACGTTTAAGCGTTTCACTAAGTTATAAACTTGGTGCTCTTTTATTTATAACTAGCTGTGCCCCGCGGTGTTACCCGTGGTTTATTAGGGATATTTTCCCGCACTAAAACGTAGCCCTTGTGTTAATCCAGGGTGTCAGCTAACTCCATACCAAAATTTATTAAAATCGCTCCAGCCGTTTAGAAGTGAAGAAGTAACAAACATACACACTCACAAACTTTCGCCTTTATAATATTAGTGTGATGCGTAATGTAGGTATTTTTATATATTATTTACATATACCCAAAGAATGACAAATGCGCATCATTGTGATTTGTGATGCAGCCCCAATGTATGTTTGTAGATAAAAAAACTTTTACCTGTAACGCTTCTCTTCGGAGATCGGGCAGGAATGCAGACACGACCCTCATAGCTCCCAATAGGTTCACTTGAATAGTTTGTTCTATCATTTTTGGTGTTTGCCATTCAAAGTCGCCGACCATCATCACACCTGCATTATTAACAACTGCGTATAAGGCTGAAAAATCATTAAAAAAAATAAGTTAAAAGGGTGGGAAATAATTGTATGTCTGATGGGAAGCGCCCACCTTAATCTACACATGCTTGCGATACCAAAATATCACTTGCACCTAGGGTTGCCACCGTACGGGTGGCAGTTTGTTATAAACTACACTACTTGTTGTACGTTATTTCGGGTAATTGTACTCTATACTTTATGCCAACAATAAAGTACGCGAAAATACTTTATTTAATGTGATTTGATTACTCGTTTATTAATTTTACATAAAATATAAGAAAGTGGTTGATAGGAAGAATTTTTGCGTAAAACGGACAGAAAGTATGAATATGTTGCCCTTATCTAATTCCAGCAACATTTTCGTGGCTGTATGCCTTTGTATCATGACCTTCCCATTGCGGAAACAAACTACAGTAGCCGTAAATTATTTATTAAAAGTTGCTAGTAGCATCGAAAAATATATTTTTAAGCTTACTAATAAAGTGGAATAAAAAGTACCTATGTACTTTATTTTGGACACAATGTACATTTTTTCTACCTTTAATATCCAATGTACTTTATTTCGACAAAAAAAGGTGGCAACCCTACTTGCACCGTTGCCTAGCCTGACCTTATCCTCAACCCCATGGAGCCCTAGAATCTTACCCACCGACAGAAACACAAACCATCAAAAAGTAGGGTTATTTTACTGTGATCTTCTGTAAGGTGGAGGTTACTTCCTCAGGCGGGCGCTCCAATTCAAGCGGGATAATACACTATTTACCTCTCTTGTTTGTAAGTTAGAGGTCACTTTGTGTTATCCAAAAATTATGAATGATTAATTTAATGCCATTAAGATGGTTCAATCTTGTACGATTTGATTAATCTGTAAGTATAGCAGACATTTTAATAAATAATGCATTCACGTTACCTGCTTCTTAAAACCCATTTAGAAGTCCCTCGTTTATGAAAATGAAGCTCCAGTAGGTACTTAAGAACTTAAGAGTAATTTAATTAATGCAATTTTGTTTTGATAACGAATAACATTTTACTTTTCTAAAGATGTAGATTCAATGCGGATAATAATTTTTATATTCTGAATTCGTATGAAGGGTTGATGGATTATACAATTACTGTAGTACATACACACCTGGATCATGAAATTATTATACAGAAAAATTCTAAGCTAACTTATACGGCCCCACTCAGTTAGAGATGCTAGATAAGTTATAAGTTGGGTTAAAGTTATTGCTATGACTTTTTGCGATGAAATAAGTTGATTAGAAAATAATTATTATAATTAATATAAGACAACACGTGTCTTTACATGGTATTAAATTTGTTTGAACTTCCCGAGTACGGCCGTTAGGAATGAATACTTACTATAATTCGGGTTTGATTTCAACAGAGCTATTACGAATTCCTTAAAAGCTGTGACGCTGTTGTGGTCTGTGATATCTAACGGATGTGGATGAGCGCACAGCTTCTCCAATGCTTTCGCCGCCTTTGTATCGGTGCCGTGGTACATCCCAGCAACGGTGACCAAACCCTCGCGGGCCGAGCGTGCCGCTATGGCCCAGCCTAGGCCGCTGTCGCATCCAGTGATGGCTATGACTCGGGTCAATGTCATGGCCGAGCTATTGATAATTTTTTATTACATTGCTATACATAGAGTTAATCGCTATCGTCAAAATTTTTATGGAAGGAGTCAGTTTGTTCTTTAGACCGGTAGGGGCGCTACTTAGTTTTCATAGAAACTTTGACGATGTGTACGATTACGGAGATGTCAAAGTTCCTACTTGGACATCTGCTCCTGAAGCTGCATCGTTAAGCGTTTCGAATCTAATGTACGATCCAGTTTGATTTTCCTATAGGTACTTTATTTTTGTTATGTAAAAAGGTCTCTCTCTAGGAACAGAACAGTACAGAACAGTGTTTTATACTGTAGTATTACTGCAATGAAAGATTTACTGTCTCAAATAAATTCAAAAGTAATATTTATTTCAAATAAAAGACTAAGACGAATAGCATTCGCGGCATAGCTCTGAAATATCATAAAGAGAGAGGCAAGATTACATTATACCAATTCCAGGTACCAAGTGGCAGGTAAGTATCAGTTTATTCAAGTTGTAAAAAAATGTCGTTTTTACTGAGATAGATCAAAGAATAAAATGAAGATAAACAACAACATATTATTGTTTTTAGCGGAATTGCATTGTGTCTCCGACATATTCGGCACTGTTGTTGTTTGGTTGTTGTTGTTGAAGTACCTGTTGAGTTGGGTTGTTACTCCGTGATCATGGCACTTTCAACAGTGCCGAAATATCGGACACTCACTAACAACAAGTTACATTATAGCAACTCCGCTAATAACTACAAAATGTTATTGATCATGAAAGTTTAAAACAATAAATATTTTTTTAACCAAATTTATTGAATAAAAAAAATAACAAAAACGGGAATTATCTACTTACCTCACTACAAGATGATTTATTATCACTACTGTCTAACACTGATAGTATAAACATAAACCACGGCGGCGAGACACTGAATGGTGCGAATGAGCTCCCCAGTCCCCTGTCTTGTTGCATATGAAACGGTTTCGAATTTCGTTGCATATTTACGACGAATTTCATGTTTATTTTTATCACAGTTTACGGTCAAGAGCGTTTTGTTCTAACTCAATTCTTCCAATTGGTACCCTATTGTAAAAAGTGCTGAGTGATAAGGATTTGTGGGATGGTGTGGTAGATACCTACATTGTTTTTTTATGCGAGACCACGCTCCATGTTCAGTTTTTTTTACGAGGAATATAGGTAGAACTCGGATTAGCCTTTTGTTTTTAATACAGGAGCTTATTAATTTAGTTTTTAGTTTTGTGTAGTGTAGTGTGAACCCACAATTATAATATAGAGTAAACAACTAAAAAAAAGCATTCATCCCGGTCCTTTGCAACTCTAGGAATAAATTCTTTTTTTTCTTTTATGCGGTAATTTTAAGCGAGTGTAACTTCATATCAGTAAAGATCCTTCCTATTGGAAGGCACCTCTCTATTAAAATCTTTTGTAAAATGTTGTCAAGACTCGGGATGTCATATCGTTTCAGACTTTTATGATAACTGGTGTTAATCAGCTTCGAAGCTAGCTCATTCGGATGTATTACCAGCCGATTTATATAAATCGCAGCCGCTCGCGGTATCTCGTCTTTGTCTCGTGGGCTTGATATGTTTATTTCATTTCAATCTCTTGTCAAGATATACATCACGCTTAGATATTTACTACATATAATATTTATTAACTCATTGGCAGTAAGTTTTATCAAATGCATAGGTACTTATGAGATTTATAATGCAAGAAGAGAACTCTTATTGTAAGATTTGTCATTGTAGAAATCAGATGTTTTTCTGAACCTATTTGCTCCTTTAGGACCCGTCATTGATTCATTGCGTGAATTTTGATTCATCTCATGTTAAAAGTTTTTCATGTTTTATCCAGATGGAATTTGAGTTACGGCAGTAAGTTATATTTTTTTAAATAAATCTTTCAAACATTATCTTAAACTTCAGGCGAGACCACAATAACGAAACATTTCTTATTACGGCTTAAATACTACCTATCTAGAGAAATTTATGAACTGCATAATTTTAAGTATCCAATAAATAAACTAGGCAATATTTCATAACATCTTCTTATAAGTATAGAAAATTCCCCACTTTTTCATTTTTTACCCAAAGGTTTGAGGTTGTACAGAACTGGAGAACATCACATCCCAGTACCACGATGGAAATGTCGAATACTTATATACGCGACAAAGAGACGCCAATAAAAGAGGATTGTTTCAGCACGAATACCCATCTGAGAGATTAGGCCTATTGGACGGAAACAATCTTGTATTTCTGGTTGACTTAGTACGGAATCCGGTCTGTGGGCCCAAAAGTGTTTCGAAATACAACCAGAAATAACAATAAGTTGCCCTTTTCGTTATGTAACGCTTGTGAGGAATTCGTGATTAAAATGTTTTAAATATCTAACGGCGTTCTAGATGTGCTGATATTTTCGCAATTTTGTAAATACAGACTGTTTCTACATTCAGTGAATTTGGAATTATCAAAATAATTCTGTACCATCGCACTTTCCCGTTAAATTATTAACAAACCCGTTAGCTTTGAAGGAAAAACGGAAAATCCTTTCATTAAAATTGGATTTGGTCATTGGCACGAAAAAATTTAGTTACCAATTGCGTATTAATTGTTTGATGAATATCATTTGCTTATAAGTTCAAACGTAATGATTATATTATTTAAATAAAAATGTTAAAGAGAAAATATAAATACCTATACATGAGGTGACATCTGCTTTGAAGAATATTGCTTCAGTATCTGAATAAATCCATCCTGTTTTTGTTTGGGAAATGGGATCAGTTAAGTGAATACCCCGTTGGTTTCTCCGCTGCTTTCTTCAGGCTTCAGGCTTCAGTGTTGTCCATGGGGAGTTCCAGGGATCAAAGTATTACCGGAAAATTAGTGACGTGTCTTTTATTCGAAAATTGATTACACTTAACTATATTGAAGGGACGTCTAAATGATTATGGATTTTCGCAGCTTATTTCGCTTTATTTTTATTTTGCAAATATAACATATTATATTATATCAGATAATTTTAAGTTTATTTCTATAATTGAAATTGCATTTCCTGTTGGAGTCTTGTTTGTAACTATTAATTACATAGATTTAAATACAAATAAATGTTACAGTACAGTTGTTACAGTTTTCCTATATATTGCACAAAAGCTCCATCTAAACCAAGTAGGTAAATGTTTTGAATACAGTCAGTCATGCGATAACAATAAATTTGTAAAACACGTAATAAGCAGTCCAATAGTAGTTTATCCAACCAGTATTACTGTGTTATCCCGACGGGAGGGTCGCTAATTGCGACATGCCCTCGATATTTACCGCCGCATCGTTCTTTATTTGTTGCATTGATTTTACATAAATCCCCGGACCCGTCGGGGGCATAGATTGTGACGCGATATGGGTTTTCGGGATCACTGACGAAAGCGCTGATGTTTTATTTTTCCTTTTTAGCCGATATATGCTCCCTTTTCGGCGTCCTAGTTATTTATGAGATATTAGTTTTGTGAATTATTGTGCCTTTTAGGAGATCAACAATTGAAGGATTATGTAACTTCCTATTTTTTGCCTTTTGTCTTTGCCATTTGGAGTAAGATTCCCTAAAGAAAATAAAAGCCGCACTCTGCCTCATTACGTTTTAAGTTTCTTTATTGTTTGCGCTCTTTCATTTTGCGATTACATGAGACAGTAATATATTAAAATTAATTAACATCTCTGAATGCGGCCTAAATTATTGCAAAGGAGACCTTCGCTTCTTCAAATTAAACGCACTCAAAAAGCATCTAAAATTATACTTTAAAAAATCCCTCATCTAAATCTCAGTAAATTCAATAGGAAGTGGTGAAAACCCTTTGAAAAATACTTTAAAAAAGGGAATCTGAATATAAAAAAACATTTTGTCATTGACTGATAGATGACAGCTAAATACTATTGGTTTATATCATTTCCTTGATTGTGATTATCTTTATATATATAATTCTTCTGTGAGTGTGTATGTCACTGAACTTCTCTTAAACGACAGGACCGATTTTGATGAAATTTTTTGTGTGTGTTCAAGGGGATCTGAGAATGGTTTAGATTCACAAAGACGTGTAGACAGGACAACGTCTGTCGGGTCCGCTAGTATGTATATAAAATTACGTGACTGTTTTCATCACATTGTAATATGTTTTATATGGATATGACAGTGACATTTAATCGCTTTGTTACACAGCCTTTAGCCAACCCTTTCAGTTATTTTATATGTATATTGATGAGCTTGGAATATAAAAGTTAAAGTTATATTTAAACTTTTGTCGATCAGGTTTATATTTTATGATTTGCGTAGCTCATTTTAATTAATTTAAAGATGCGCATTTACCTTACAATGTAGTTATCTGTTGTCATTAATTTAAAAGTTTAAACGTCATTTTTATGTTCAATTTTATTTATATTTTAAATGAACTCTGCGTATATTTCAACACATAAATAGATGATAATACTTAATTTACAAGATGAAGGGCAGAGTTGTATGGAGAAAAGAATGGATCCTTTGCGTATCCTTTTGACTTTACTCAAGAAATGAAATTTCTATCGAATATCTAACTACTGCATGCGAACTATTGTTAAGATTTTTCGACTTTGAAAGAAGATGAAATTATTTGCGTATTCGCCGAGGAATGCCTTGAGGGGTAAATAAACCAACCGTTCTAAATATAGGTATATCCGTCTCCGTCTTTTGTCTTTCCTGTCACATCTTTTTTAAGGAAAAATCCGTTGGTTCGTGCGGGGAATGGCGGTCATTCGGCCGACACTTTTAAAGAGAAGGGTACTCCTGGGAAATCTGCACACCCCCGTCTGATAATAGTGTTTGCTCATTTGAGTGTTCTTCTGCCGGATTGTATAAGGCAGTTAATGGCAAGGGGGAGGTGTGTTCTGTTCATAAGTGTGCGATTCACTCGAATGTTCCAGTTCAGATTTATAATGGTGCCTTTAATATTATGTGGTTACTGGTAACTTATAACCTAACCATTTATATTTTTTCGTGTATGTCATATTCTTCTATGTGTATTTGTTAGTTTGTATAACCATTGCATTTAAATTGCACAAAATTAAATTTAAATAATGATGGAATAATAAGATTTTCTCTTCCTTCTTAATTATTTGAAGTCTTGATTCTTATTTTAGGTAAATGCAAGTATACCGACAGTAAATATAGGGGAATAGTTTTAGAATACATAATAATACGTTAAGTAGCTAGTAGTATAAACATAAACTTGACACCAGTCAGTGCAACATAGATATAGAGTTACGGGAACTGTTTAGCAACGCTTCCATCCGTAATACGAGTGATTTGTAATTAAATATCATTGACTATTCGTAAAGGGATTCCTTGAGACGACTTTGAACGTTTGAAGTTACATTTCTTACGTTAAAATAGCCTTTGACGGATTTGCTTTAGTTAAGTATAATAAACGGTTTAAGGGTATTTCAATATAATTAAGTAAAATAAGTTTCTGCAATAATAAATTAATGCTATTTTTTTATGTTTTGTTGCACCATACTTAATTCAAATTAAGGCTTATTCTTGTTTAATACATCATCTTTGTCAATTGTTTAATGTAGTGTTTGAGGCTTAGAATTGAAAGAAACACTATTATACTTGATACGAATATAGTGTAGTTTAGTATTCTCATGTCTGTGGGGGTTTATGGCGCTGAATGGTGAAATACAGGCTTTGCCTAGTTCAGCAGCAGAGGCTAATAAATTATATTTTCTGTATAACTAGTGCTAAGTTTGTTACGAAATCTTATTTTACTGATTTTTAAGTCAATAAATCTTATTATTATTATTACTACTATCACGCAATTTTTTAACGGTTGGTCAGCGAAAAAAAATACCAAAAAGCCGTCAAATCTAATGTTAACTATCAATCGAGATGCTGTAAGCCTAATCTATATTTAATAATTATAAAAACCATTGGATTTATTTATTTATTAGTTGGTCAAAGTGTGCTTTAAGAAAGAAGGAAGGTTCTTTGTAAGTTGATGAGCTCCATGGCACAGTGCAGTGGTTAGTGCGTTCGGTTGAAGAATTGAAACAATATACCTAGTGATAGGTGATATGATGGCTGACCAAAAATTGATCATCCTTAAGATCCTCCTTGTTTCGGCAGACAACTTTAGCGGTGGGTCCCTGTTGGACCGACCCCCATGACAACGGCTAACTAGAGCCGAGGTGCGAGTCTCAGAGACGCCCTCTAATTGAGCCGACCCCCTCAGGTTCGAGTGGTCTATAGGCTCCAGACGGAGAGGAGACTCCTCCCGTGGGGAGATGCCATCCGCCTGGAAAACCTCTAGAGGCACTCGCCAATACTCGGCTTTAGGTCCCTTTAGGATCTCGTCGTCCCCAAACCCGATGACGCTGTAAAGGTCATCTGTGACCAACAGCATACACAATTAAAAAGAAAAGAAAAACTGGTCAGTCACTTGGTGGGTGATGGCCAATTCTCCCTATCCCGCCCTTATCGAAGGTCTGTGCCCTATTAGCAATGGGTACATAAAAGAGACTGGTGAACAGAAGCGTCATTAGGTCATAAATAAATAGTTCCATCACTCACACCCATTAGCTTAGCCCCGAAGTAAGCACTTTTCAGCTTGTATTATGGGATACTAGGGTAACGGATAGAATATACATATTATACTGATACATGAATAAGTACATTTATACAGAAATACATATTAAACATCCGTAACTGGAGTACAAATTGTCGTATTCATCGCCCCCACCGGGATTCGAACCCGGGACCTCTCGAGTAGGCGACACCTTGAAACCCGGCGTACAAACCACTTGGCCACGGAGGTGATCATGTAGCGCCCGAGTGTAATCACGATAGGTAAAGCCGCTTGTGCTGATGAACACATTTTATTACTTTCTAAACGGAAGGACTACGCCCAGAAGTGGTCGTAGTTAGTAGTCGTAGTCCAAAAAACCAGAATCCAATTGCCTACGATCAATCATAGTTTCAGCGGTTGCTATAGATTTAGTTATTGTATTATTATCTGCTCTGTAATCACTTGGCAGTAGATCAATTAACTGAGGGATGATTATACTCGTATTATGCAAGTCTAACTTCTGATATGCATATAATATAATAAGTATCAGTTCAATGAATCAGATGAAACGTTTGCAATAAAGGTATAAACAATTTATATATACTTGTGTATTGCATATACACCGGTTTTCAAGGTGTCGCCTACTCAGAGGCCCCGGGTTTGAATCCCGTTAGGGCAAATGTCTTATATCATGGATATATGTTTAGTAAATGTATTCAATCCGTTACCCTAGTATCCCGTAACACAAGTCTTACAGTGATTACTTTTTGGCTTACAGTGGAATCGGCGCCAACAACAACGCAGCACTTGAATTTAAGCATCGAATATGAATTTTCGATTTCTTCAATCCAGCAATGCTCTTCTGTGAGAAATAAGGAATTGTGCATACAAACCAATACAAACATACATGAACCCTGAATACATTACACTTATTTTTTTGGAGCAGTCGTGTAATTGAAATTAGAATAAGAATTTCAAATATACCGCTGAATTCCGCAGTGACAAGTGAGTTTGTTCTAACTGAATAGCACTGCAGTATCGTAGTCAAAATATGTAAATCTTATTTATAAATAGAATTAGACAGGCTTTAGAAAAAACTGGAGTAATAATATTATTTATTATGCTGATTTAAAGTAGTGTTGCACTTACCTTAGTGATTTCATTTAATGAATTTCTGTGAAATACCCTTTTTGGTTCGCATCTTTGTTAAAAATTTGTAACGTTTCCATTTCTTTGGAAGTTTCGTGGAAATTTATACGAACACAAAAAAAGACTCTTTTCTGGCATTGTTCAGTTTTTGAAAAATCCAAAAATTTTCAGAATAATTTAATTGATTTATTACACATCTTTTTATCAAGATGTTAGTGTCGGACATCCAAAACTAAAGATTTTTAAAAGGAAAAAAAAATTACTCAACCCTTGCTGAAAGTCGCAAGAGTTACTTTGAAAATAAATCTATTGCTATGTGAATTTATTAAAAAAATATTTAAAATTTAAACTTTATACACCAAAATATACAAGAATGGTTCTTACAAAAGGAATTAATGCTAATAGCATTCACTCCCAGTCAACCTTTGGGAAAAATAAAAAACACGTACGGCGGTATAAAGCTTGTTGTTTATGAAAGGGGTTTAGCAGTATATAAGATGCATGTAATTTATTTATAACTTGAAATCATATAGCTATTATTTACAAATTCTAATAATTGTCAATTGTTAGTAAAGTTATCATCTTGAAACACAGTCATCATATATTTAAATTATTACAGTTAGTTTCTAATAACACTTCGTATCCATTGTAAGTACTTGTACACATTCGTGTATAAGGACGGTACGGAAGTGCCGCATGGGGCATCCGCTCTCTTCCCGCTGACCACGCCAGACAGGTAGTACTTCCCGTTGTACTGCATCATTAGCGGCCCTCCAGAGTCCCCTTTGCAAGTATCTTCGCCAGTGTAGCCGGCGGCGCACATTTGGTTCCTATTCAAATTAGGATAGGAGTCCCTGCATTGTCCTTGGGGTATTAAGTTGACGACCGTTGATTGTTTAGTGTTGGATTTGTACCGGCCGTTCCGACCCCAGCCAGCGATGGCGAGCTGCAGGTTGGAGAACTGCGGGTCGTCAATGTCGAATGGTGGCAAGCATATCGGCCGGATGTATCCTGCGAAACAGTAAATTGCGATTTTAAATGGAAAATTTAAAAGTTATATTTGGAACAAGGCCTTTCGTCCACGCGTTTACTTGCTTTCGATTGGACTACGATATGGGTATCATACGTGTCACTCAGTTTTCGCCATAAATTTTCGTTAAAGCTCGAAGTTTCGCACACGCGTTGAAGGGTACGCTCTTTCGACGCAACCCGAAAACATTTGGCAAAAACTTACGAGTGAAACGTAGCGAAGCGAAGATGAATGAACTTATTAATATTTTTTAAGAAATAATATTTAAATTATTTCATATCACTAATATCTGTCATACCTATTCGACCTCCAATACCGAGGATAATATGAATGCTGTAGTGGGAACTCAATTAAAAACCTTATACTAGTAGCTTATTTATCACACAGTTTAGACGGCAACTTAGAGCGTCTGATATTTGCAACCCTAGTATACATCGGGGACGACACATTATTCGTACGGAAGGGATTAAATTTCTGAAAGGCAGGGAATGTGTGTCTTAAGATTCCTAGAAGCTCTTAAGATGTAGTTTAGAAAGGTAATAAATTTGGCGACCATTTCTACATCGTACAATTCGAAAATAGACAGGAATATATTATATAACCTTCTTCTTAAAATTTGTGATGTTTAAGAGGCTTTAAGAAGTATCTTGCTGTTGGCAAGTGTGGTAACTGTAAAATCACACCCTTAACTTCAGGTGGTGTATATTATTTGGTAGGTTAGACCCTTTAATATAATAAGATTAAAACTGGTAGTATTTATAATAGATCTTTCAGATGCACTGATGATATAGTTCAGAAACTGCATAACCCCGAAATGTCAAACAATACAATTTAATATTGCGTAACTTTAACTGAAGTGTATTGTATGTGTGTCAAGGTTAGACACAAACTTTGTGTTCACGAATTAGTTGCTGATGTATGTTGCTTACGTAACATAACGATTATCCGGATTATCGTCGCTTATGGAGTGGATTTACGGGAACTTGCAGGAAATCCTACCAAGGCCACAAATCCAGTTAAACACATGCTTTGAATAAACCACTTAGCGATAATATAATTAACTTTGTTTGTGTTTGCTTAATTCATTGAGCTTTCTTGTTTAAACACCATATGTGACACAAAATTATGAACAGATATCAATTATGATCAAATTTTTAAATCTGATATTTTTACTTCTGATATTAATTAAGTCTTTTTAATAATTCTGTTTTAAGATTACAAAATTTACAGGTATAACGAAACTGTTACCCAGGTTGTATACAAATTTATAATAAGTTTTTAATAATCACATGCCAGATGGAGGCGAAATACACGAAAGATATTATATTTAAAAACTTGCTGTTCTCTTTATTTTTTGTGATGTAATATTCCATTCATTCATTCATTCTTCTTTATGAAGTCACTTCTATCTATCGGACATTATAATATATAAATCGATCGAGAAAATAAATTATATATTAACTTTAATCATCATCTACTTTTTAATTTTTAGTGATTATTTCTCATTAAGAAACCAACCAATTTATTTAATTCCTATCAAACATTTTTGGCACGGGTGTAAATTAATAACCTGTTTGCTCCAGTAAACATTGACTTGACCTACATTTTTGGAGCTTAATCTAATTCCTTTCTAATCTCATTATACTATTTTATATAAAAAAAACTACAGTCATAGATAAGTGGTAATGAAGAAGCCTTATTAACTCACTTGTGTACGGGGCGACTCCCTGAAGCCTTACAACAGCTATGTCGTTAAATAGCCTGTCGTCATCATAGTCTGGATGAAGGACGTAGTTTTCTGCCTGCATCACGCTATTCTCGACGCACACCTCACCACGACCTAGTAGAGTCTTGCAGTCTTTTGGAAACGTCCTCTTGTCGTACTCGGAAAGTGTTACTTCAATTCTGTAAAAGGAATGCGTTAGATTCAATTTTCAGAGGTAATTTATATATCAATACTTGCTTTCACGTATAAATAGATTGTGTACATACACCTACTTAATATCCCCTGCAGGGTTGGTAGAACATCAAGTAGAAGATATAAATAAACTTTAGTATAAATTTTATACTAAAGTTTATTTATATCTTTAAACTTTGATGTAAAGTAAAGGCTGTAAAGAGAGCGAAAGTAATATTAAATATTCTCTTTACAGCCGTCTAATCAGAAACTTAATTATGTAAACCTATGTATAAATCTACGCTTAAAGTATTAAAAAAGTTCTGTTTCAATTTCAAAAGTCACACTTTTTAATTAAAAAGAAAGTTATAAGTTAGCTAAAAAAAAGGAAAGCATCAGTTAAATTAAATTCTTTTTCACCAGGAACGATCGTGGAAGTTTAGTAACTTTCGCATTGGTCGGTCTTGGATGGGTGATCTTACGATCTCAAGTTGCATCTGCAGTCGTTAGCAACCACTCATCCGCATTGGGCCCGTATGGTGGGTCATACATGGCCGATATTCCCTGTGCCATCCATAAGGAAGAACTTTGCCGCCGCAGTGGGGAATAATAGGCCGATTCTGATGATGATGATGACAATGAACGTTCACAAATCACAGACAGCTCACCCCTTAACTCTTCCTTTGGCATCGAAAACACAATGTCCAGCAGTGAGTACGTATCGTGAGCTGACAAGGGAACCACCGCAGGAGAACGCCGATTCCCTGGTAGCATACACGAAGGTTGTCTTCATAAGTACAGTCCACGGGAATTGCTGCAGGTCTGTTTCTTTGCCTCCTATGAAAACAGTAAGGTTGTTATAGATATTAGCGCTTTGTTTTTTTATATTGATGACCAGAGGCCCAATCGCGAATGTTGACAGAGCACCGTAATCGTATCGCATCATCAAAGTTTCTATGCAAACTAAGCATGCACTTGCACAGCACACCTACCGGACCTAACAGTAAATTGACTTCTTCCATACAACATTTGAAGATGACATGATACGATTACGGAGCAGTCAAAGTTTGTGCTTGGACTTCTGTAAGTAGCCAGGTAGTACAAAATAATTTCATAGTAAGTGTTAAGAAATACAATTAAATAAATCTCATCATCTACAGTTTAATTATATGTTTTAACTATTATATATAATAAGTGGTATTTATTTAATTAATAGTATGCTAATCATGATATAATGTCATTTAAATGTGTGTGCCGCACATTATTTTGTATTACCTGGCTACTTACAGAAGTCCAAGCACAAACTTTGACTGCTCCGTAATCGTATCATGTCATCTTCAAATGTTGTATGGAAGAAGCCAATTTATTGTTAGGTATGTAAAATAGATGATGTAAGTACAGCAGCACCTATAAACAATCTAGCTCAAAAAAATAGAAAATATGTAGATACGTAAAAATATGAATGGTGCCCTGCTTACACATCTTGTCTGTACCCACCTGCTATGCGGTTATCAATGGTGACGGTGACGTTTTGCTCTCGTTTCTTTCTCGTGTAACCCGGCTGAGACATCCAAGAAGGCCATCCAGGCATCGGAAAATTCATTTTAGGCATCCAATTGTTCATATTACCGGAGTTGGGGCCATACCGACTATCGGGTGGAGCTGTGAAGATTGTGGGATTGTAATTATTCGTTTGATGGTCTTAAAATTAAGGAGATGTTGCCATTTATTTGCTTAGTGGATTGTCTAAGGCCCGTATTACAGAATGACAACTAAGTGTTGATCTTTACATGAGAAGCGTTAGAGAGGGATGCCCCTATATGCTATATATAGTGACATCTCTTTCTGACTATGCTCAAGACTAGATTTATTACTGAGAATCTTTCTATAATACGGGCCTTAGTCATCATTTATATATATTATTGAACGAATTTCCTTTTAGTGAAAAAATTTAGTTTTTGTCAAGTACTATCTTCTAATAGACATTATGGTGAACAAATGAACAAGACTTTATTAAAAGGTATTATTAGTTAATTTGGATACTACTCTCCATTTACGGGAAAGGCATATAAGATTGTTTGTTACTCATAATGTTAACGTTATTCCCACTAGAAAAACTAGCTAAACTCGTAAGTGACTCACAGTTAATCTCATCATTCTGGGAAGCCTCCTGTCCACAGCAGCCAGATGCAGGGTCCGGGGGAAAGCTCGTTATAGGGCACTGTTCTCCCGAGGTTGATCCTTTAAAAGTATTACCATTCGCGTTGGCAGGGAGGAAATACGGGTTCTGTTCAGCAGTTTGTTTACGCCAGTAAGGTCCATCGAATCCACCGTTCCCATCAAATCTGTCATTGTCATAATTATTACCACGACCACTATTAGGGTAATTCCAATTATTGCTCCCCGATCCTATTTGGGGATTGTAGTAATTTTGGCTCGGCTGATAATATTGAAATCCATCTCTTCTGGTCAAGTCTGGATTTGTGTGTGAGGTGGGTGGATTTCGGTCATAGTTATTTTCTTGACTGGCACTGTCCACTCCCCATACATTTTCTGGACAGCATACCTTAAGTAAATACAGTTTTTATCTTTAAAAAACTAAATTATCACCGTTTATTTTAGAAAAAACCTTATTCTAAGTTCGTCGATGTGCCACAATTAACTTTCAAAATTTACTAAAGTTAGTACGACATGTTGACACACATACACGTGACTTTATAAAGTGATTGCAATTATAAGTTAGTGTAGTTTTGAGTCGAAGAAAACATAGAACGCGTTAACTGCTTATATTTCCATGCAGATAAAAAGCCACTTATGTTCAGGCTAAGTTTTCTTCCATTGAAAACAATAAATAACCACCACGCGGCCCAGGCAGCAGATGGGAATTGAACCCGCACTCTCCGAGATCCGGGCGGATGCACTGACCAATTATGCTACCGCGGCCTTAATGACCATGTCGAATTTCGTATAGTATTTCGAGGCTGCAAGGTAGCGCCATCTCTTCGCATTGCAGGTAACCCCACAACATCTTCTTTTTACCCGGCTGCGCAATGCAAGAGCGCGAAGCATCATGGGAGTGCTACTAAAGATATGATAGTAATCAAAATTCAATATGGGCAAAATTAGGCGCCATATTGTGACGAAGTAAAAAAAATAAGTTGACAAAATATGTCGAGTGGGGTATCACTGTCTAGATAATCAAAAATCATATTTAGGTTCCTAACACCATTTTTCATTTTATATGATTATTTAGGATCTACAACGCTTTAAAGTTGTATATTAACCACTTACGCTTTTAATTTCAATCTTACGTTTGGATCTTTGTTACTCTTTCACCTAAAAATACTGAATGGATTTTAATGAAACTTAACAGTAATGTAGCTCATATATGATAATTACATATATATAATAATTTATGTAGTTATTGAGTGAATTGGCCAATATATAACAATAAGTGTCACATAAGACGGAAAAAAAACTCCCATCTGAGAGCCATTTTGGCCTGCACTGCAAAAACAATAAAAGTTACATGAATGTAATGTAGAATGAAAATGTATCTCTTAAATAGTTCTAAAAAAAGTCCGTGACACCATATATCTATTTTTAATGTGTAAGTCATTACCGCTAAAATAGTGAATTAAAACTAAAATATTATTTGATATCTATTTCCAAAATGCACATTTTGTATTAACAAATCATTTTTTATCAAAACAAATACTTTTATCGCTTTTGATATTTAAAGACGATAAACTTTTTTTTACACTATGTCATTTCGACAAATATTTAAAAAGTTACAACGAATGACAAAGTGATAGCGCGGTGTACTATGTAAAAGAAAAAAAAATGGGGTATTCGCAGTATCTGATCCTATACGAAGTACTAACAATAAAGCTGTGAGACAGTTCCTTCTTATTAAATGATGAAAGATATATTATCATAATAGGTATTTATGATTATTGAATTTTAATGAAAAACTCAGAATTTTACTGTTTTTAAATTTTTTTAACGATATTACTTAACAAAAAAGGTTTACTTAATATAATGACAAATAACCCATTTTTCGCTGGTAAGTACATACTTATTGGAATCCCTGTATTTATTAATCAGCTCACGATAATATTGGTTTTGTAATAATTCTGCAAAATTCAAAGTAAATAATGTAGATTTTTATAGGTAGATCACCCCTTTCATCACCCTACGCCTATAAGTATTGCGATGTTGTAGCTAAGAACCAAGTTCCCATCTACTTCTATATGGGAATTCATTATATTCGATTTAGCTATTAGGGCACGGAAGCGCAACAAACAAACTCACTTTCACATCTATAATATTATATTATACTTACTAGTGATCCACCCGGGCATTGTACGGGCGAAATTTATTTATCGGGATAAAATATAGCCTATGTCACTCGGACAAAATGTATTTAAATACAGAAAAATGTAATAATAAATAATGTAGCTACCTTATGATGAATTAATATTTGAAACCGGTTCAGTAGTTTGACAGATTATTTGTTACAAACATACAAATCTTGCCTCATTATAATATTAGTATAGATAGTTAGGATAAGATAAGTATTTAATTGATGAAAAAGATTTAAAAATAAAGTAAGGTTTATTTGATTATATTTGTAAAAGTTACTTAGCATTTGTGCTTAACAGTGATACGTAATTCGGTATTTTTTTAAACAAAAAAAAATTTGGAAAATAATTGCCATGATTGCCCTACTGGGAGTACTCTTCATTCGAGGTTTACACTACCAATAAAAAAGGGTCGATCACAAAGTCTTTGACCTGTTATATGTGAACGCTTTAAAAGAAAACTACAAAGAGAACTATAAATTGATTAAATGAGATTGCTATGGTGCTCTATCTAACGTTATGAAAATTTTATTATGCGCCTTTAGTTTATTCAAATATTATAAACTTTGCTTTGGTGATTGCATAATTATTTAATTTAGTGATCTAAGGCAGTTGCCACCATTGTCCAAAACAACAAACGGGAATTACTGCTTTCTTCAACCTGCGACATAAACGTCATTGATTGGTATTGTATATAGGGTGATTAAAAACATTTGAAGTTAACTTCTGGCATCTACATATTGGGTTTCTGTGAATTATATAGGTATATCAAATTATGAGACTAGGGACTGACACTGCATTTGTGTATATCACAATCTTAGACGTCCGGCATTGACATGACAATGCAGCCGCTGCCAATTTTAAATAGTCGACGAATAAAAGTAAATGAATTTTATATTTACTGCTAAACTATTAAAAAAACATAAACAAAAGATGACTTTTTGAGTAAGTTCTAGTTTACTATAAAATTTACATACATTAGAGATATTTATGTAACGACTTGATTTAACTTCACACATTTTTGCGAAAATTGAGGCCCATCTGTAGCCTTGACTCCGCTGGTAAAGTCTCTATATGTCTTAATAAACCAATCTTTTAGACCGACGCAAGGTACTTAATAATTCCCGCGATATTAATTCCCTTACTGAAGTAACAAGACTACGGTATATACCGTCTTAAAATACTAACTAACTAAAAAGTGTGAAATAAAAAAGGTAAATTTAAAAAATCAATAAACCCGACTGCTTAATTATACTTCAAATAAAAACTGAAAAGAAAAAAACAAGTCCAGTAGTCTATAATTCTGTTAATAAGGAACAAAGCTACTTTAGCAGTCGGGACCCACTGTTGAAAAATATTATGTATTCTTGAATATCTAATGGGTCCCGACTGTTAAAGTAGCTTTGTTCCTTATTAACAGAATTATAGACTACTGGACTTGTTTTTTTCTTTTCAGTTTTTATTTGAAGTATAATAAAGTAGTCGGGTTTTTTGAATTTTTAAATTTACCTTTTTTTCTGGTAAATTTTTCTTTAGATTCGAACATCTACTATATAAATGATTAAAAATATTTTTTATAAGATTTTCAGAAAGTAAGGAGGAAAGAAATAGTGTTTCACCTTTGGTTTCGATTCCGCAAGGGATATTAAAAATATATATGTCAAGATAAATCTTTTTAATAAAATCATTTCGTGGCTTTGAAATGTTTTAACTTTGTAATATAGATTACGCATTAAAACGTGTAAATGAAGCTACATATGAATTTGATCGGATAAAAATCAAATAAAACATTGCTCTTTCCCCTCAACAACTGATTAATTTCGATTTTCATACCGTATCATTAACAAGGCATTTACACAAAACCTCATAATAAGAGCGTGAATAATATTAACACGAGAGTTACCTACTTCATAGTTCATTACGGTTATTTATGGAACTCGTTAATTTTGTTGGGCCTTTCGATGTTCAAACGACATGTTTATTTCGCGATGATTAATGTTGCATTTGCAAAATTCCAGTTCTAGCAGTTGCATTACAGCGTGCTTAAAAACAATTTGCATTTCAATTACAAATTCATGGACCTACTTCGTTTTAAGTGTTTTAACGCCTAAAAGCTTACATTTTCATTCAGTGATTAGACTTTTTTATTTTAAATGAAGACTTTAGATTCATTAATAAGAGAGGTAGGGATTTTCCATTCAAATCGTCTGGTGGAACAACCTCCACCTTACAGTACACCACAGTAAAATAAGAGTAACTTTTGATGGTGTTGTATATCCGTCACTAAGTAAGGTTCCAGTGCTCCTCAGGGTAGGGAATTGGGTCAATGGCAGGTCAACGACGTGCCAAAGTGCCAAAAGTGCCACATGGAGGGAAAGTACCTTAAATACTGTATATAGAAAATTTTGGTAAACGATTTTATTTTATAATTTAAAAAACAATATGAATGCCTTTAAAGAATTTAAAAGAAAATCTTGAGCTTCCCTTTATTTTAGATGCTATTTATAATAAAAAAGTCGGTAAACTAAAATTACAGATTTTCTTTACAAATGAAAAAGATCAATTTACTTAAATTCTTTGAATACAGTGTGTAATGTTTTAAAATGAAAATGATATTTAATTTAATTTCATTTAAGCAGCAAAATTTTTCTATATATAGTATTTCCCTTCATGTGGCAAAGTTTTGTGAGACCTGTGTACTGCTGTTAAAATAAACTTTCTCTTCTACTGTTCTCCGTTTACTTCTTATTTTAGGTAGGTAGTTTTTCTAAGCCTAATTATAAACAGCTGCCACTCATAGGGAAGTTTCCTTCTTATGTAAGTGATCGGCGCACGAGCAGTGTTATAGCGTGGTTTAGATTGACGGTACTTCTCGAGGCTCGTTAGTGCTAATTGACAGGCGGCGCGATTTTGCCCGTAGAATCGAATAAAAATCGATCAAGTGCGAGTCGAAATTGCAAATAGAAGGTTCCATACTAAAATACAATATTTAAAACTTGATCGAGCAATATATTATAATTTTATATTGTGTATTGTACAAACACAAAAAACGATAGTGGCTATGGCATCACAGCTGTGATTTTTAATGGCCTATAAGTATCTGTTAAAGAGATAATGCCCTGGGATAGACTGTCTGCCTATCCGCAGTGCAGGCATTAAAATGGTAAAATTGTACTTTCTAGGCTCCTAGGCCTAGAAAGGTGAAACTTCACTGTTTTTTTGGAAATGTCTCTCATTAACAAAGTCTTTTTTTCTGGCGTTTTAGTCACTACACTAACCTAACCTAAGCTAGTGTCGTACTAGTAAAAATCAACTCATGGGTCCAGAAAGTACAGTTTAGCAATTGAAATAGTTCTCCCATTGTCACCCTTTAGGTCAGAACTCTAAAACAACTCTGCATAAAGAGTTGTATAAACAATGTTTAAAACCTCGTTTTTGTAATGATACACGCACAGAGAATTTTGACAACGAGCAACAAAACCGTTAGCTACAATTTCAAGTACCTCCGAGTTCCTTGTAGGCCGGAATCAGATAAGGAGATAGGAAGGGGATAAGAGGCATAGCGGATTTTCCGTTCGAATTAATAATAATAATGCTTTATTTCTTCTCCTCACAATCCCATGCACAAAAAATAAAAAACTTATTGAATTAATTAATGACTTAATGACAAGATTGTTGAGAGACGGGTATCTGAACTAGGCCGCAGCCTGTATCTCAGAAGACCAGTACTCTCCCCTCTTTACAGTGGTACATAATAACATAATCATAATCATGATCAATATCATTTATTCAGTTTAGGCTGTTACAAGCACTCATGAATGTCTAGAAGCTACGCCATCGGTTCGTAAATCTACGCCGGAAGACCTCGTACTGAGAAGAACCGGCAAGAAACTCAGCAAGGGCTGCTTTTTTCTCCCTGTTTTATTATTTACAAAGTCGTCAAATAAAATAACATGTTCTGAAAAAAATAATAATAACTGTATCTTTGGTAATTGGAGTGTCCGTCTGGGGACGTAATCACCTTACCGAAGATCTTAGTAAAATAACACAACTTTTTGGTGGTGTTGTGTTTCTGTTGATGAGTAAGGTTTCAGGGCTTCACGGGGCCTACCCCGTGCCTAACCTGATCCAAACCCCTAGGTTTGGGTCAGGTTAGGCAACAGCGCGAGTGATATTTTTGTATCGTAAGCGTCTATCACACTAATATTATAAACTTTCGTTTATACGTGTGTGAGTGTGCATGTTTGTTACTTCATCACGTCTTAACGGCTAAAGCGATTTTAATAAAATTGGGTATGGAGTTAGCCGACACCCTGGATTAACCCATAGGCTACGTTTTACTGTGGGAAAATATCCCTTATAAGCTTAGTGTCGCCATATGCTTGTTTGCTACCTTTTTAACATAAAAAAAGATAGTACAGGCATCGAACCAGCACAGCAGAGTCTTTACTTGGTACATGAACGAATTTGCAACCCGATATCTGAGCCAATTATAATAATTTCTATAATAAAGAATATAGACCGCTCCTACGCCTCTCACAGTTTCTTTTAAATAGTAAACAATTTGATAGTTTACGCAAACGCGACCGAATAAGTAAACAATAAGTTTTTCCTCTTACTAGATCTCCTTTAGCGGTAGTAGAAAATCCAAGATGAGTGGATTTTTTGGTTCCATCCGGGCAAAGGAACCGCTCCCGCCATTTGCTCTTTTCTTCTTGGAGCAGATCTTTGTAAGTTGGGCACTCCTCCGCAGGAATACAGTGGTAACATTTTTCTGTGAATATTATAATCACACTAATATTATAAAGGCGAAAGTTTGTGAGTATGTGAGTGTGTATGTTTGTTACTTCTTCACGTCTAAACGGCTGGAGCGATTTTAATAAAATTTGGTATGGAGTTAGCTGACACCCTAGATTCACACATAGGCTACTTTTATCCCGAAAAAAATGTTAGGTTCCAGAGGGATTTCCAAGAAACTTAGTTAACGCAGACGAAGTCGCGGGCGACCTCTAGTATTAGCATACTTTGTTGGTGCTAATACCGACTTACAATAAGTACCTATATATGAGGCTTTGATTTCAAAACAAGTGTGTACTGTATTTCAGAAGCTAGCGTCTTCCCATCAAAGATACACTTACACGCTAACCGACGGCCTGCGTCGCGCGGGCACGGGCGCGCCGCGCAGGGTTACCAAACGTATGAAAACTCTAACGTTTAAGATTTAGCAGTCTCTATACATGATACGAGGTAAATATAAATCTCGTACACTTTGATATGAGATTTGAATAATGTTGACTGTTTGTGCCAAGTACACAAAGCAAATTTATAATCAGAAAGTAAATAAATAACCCGGTCCACAAAGGATCGGCTCAGTAAGTACAGCTTCATCATGCAATCTCAAAGTTACGACATTTCTATTTACCTCGAGACTGCTAAATCTCAAACGTTAGAGTTCCCATACGTTTGGCGACCCTGCGCGGCGCGGCTGCGCCCGCGACAACACAAAAACCGGCCAAGTGCGACTTGATTTGGATTCCGTACCATTATGTAGACACTATATTATAATATAGAGTAAAAACCGGTAAAATAATCACGTATGCTGTATGTACCCTCAATTTTTTATTTTATTGTGTTTTTATTATAGTATTTGTTGTAGAGACGGCAACAGAAATACATCATCTGCGAGAATTTCAACTGTCTAGCTATCACGGTTCATGGAATATAGCCTGATGACACACACGGACAATGGAGTCTTAGTAATAGGATCCCGTTTTTATCCTTCGGGTACGGAATCCTAAAAAGCATAACAAAGTGGTGGTAGATATAAATTGCACAAGTCAACCAATCTTTGTAATTATTAAATTAGTTTTTTTTTTAATTCACTTTTTGTTCATTGTCATATCTACAAGGAGGGATACGGTAAGTAAGAAGTGTATGGTTTTTTTATCCAAGCGAGTATTACAAACTAAGGTTAAGGTAAGGAGAAAAACTTGATCCAAGAGAACAAAACAACTTACGAGACCTTATTACTTTATACGTTTTCCCGCTACATTTCTATGATTTTAATTCATTGTCTTTGTATAGAAACATTGAGTGTTCTACAAATATTTGCAGGACTAACCTATAAATTCAACTAACTAGCGGGTTGCATTTCAAAATACCGAAAAAGATGTAAATCATAATTTAAGAAATTATCATCATTTACAAATAATACACACTACTACTACTTACAGATGAAGCTACCCTCATGATTAAAAAGGATAGTCAGTGGAATTATGATGATATTCCAATTTAACAATGAGTAAGCACGTTTACCTTTCGCTATAACACTAGTTGAACACAAAACCACTAAGGCAACATATAAACAGTAACTAGAACTAAACATAGCGAACACTTAATTAAAAATGTCACAAGTCAGCTCACAGCATTCATGGTACGTAATGATAATGATGACTGACTGGCCACTTATTGTCAAATGACCGACGAAGGAATTTAATTGTTAAGATGGAGGAAATCTGGTTGTGGGTATTTGCCACTAATTACATTGACGTTCTGTTGATTGGACTATTATCAGTTTTGAGCGATTAGAAATTATAACATAACGTTCTCGGAATTTAATTATTTGAAATTGAACCATTGTTATTCTAGTTTAAAGTTTAATATTATTTTATTTTTGATTCTCGTTTCATTCAATGACATTCTTTTTGACACAGTGAAAAAAAGAAAAGAAAAACCCCTGTCCCTGTATCATGAAGCACCACTCTCCGTAGCATGAGCACCACAATTTACATTATATCACGTTTTTTATCGTGCCTAACTGTCAAACTCCATAGTAATTTGACAATTGGGCGTAATAAAAACGAGCTATTTAACATATCGTGGTGCTCATGCTAGGCAGGCACAATTAACATTATATCAAGTTTTTTATGGTGTCTAACTGTCAAACTCCATAGTAATTTGACAATAGTGCGTGATAAAAACGCGTTATTTATCATATCACGGTACGCATGCTAGGGGGGTGTTATTATTATATATCGTAGGATGATTTGATATATCACATGTTCGTGAAAATCCTAGGGATTTTATGCGAAAACGCTGATAATTAGATAATGGAGATGACATTTCTCAATATCTTTTGCCTAAATCCCTAGGAATCGCAAAATTTGGATTAGTCATATTATCCTACGATATATACACATTCACATACTTTGTTACCCCTTCGTCTATCCGTCCGTCAGCCAGTCGTGGGTCAACACCCTTTTTCTTGGGAAGGCATGCAGGTATCAAAGGGATTATTCATATCAAATAATCTGCTCTTAATCGTAAAAATATAAATCTTGATCGGCCGTAAAAATAAAAATATATAATTTCTAAGTCAACGAAACTACCTTTTATGATCTTTTTGTGCTATATTCCGGAATGGAAATCGCCGAAATGAATACCTATGTATTCACTCATGCATACATAATTTATTTTAGAGACAAAAGTGCTCGTACTTTGTTCCTATGTCGCGTCTTTCGGAAAACATCGATACTGTCTATGAATGTGCTCGCTTACCCATTAAATATCCATTCAGCATAAACTAGAAAACGTTAACATACGAGTTGTTGAAAAGCTGGGCCAGACAATAAACTTTATAGTCCAGGATACGAAGCTCAAAAAATGGCAAAACCTCGCAATTATTTCGTCCTGCATCGATTTGTATATAAGTTTAGAATTAGGCTCCTCTTCGCCCTTACTGCAAAATCTATATCATGCCGATGGGCGCTGCTTGTTTTTTAAGAGTGAAAACTCCCTTATTGTATAAACTTATAAAATAACATTTTAAACCTTAAGATGGGTGAAAATTGGTTTCTATTAATTATATTGTTTTATGCTTTAGAACATAATTTCAGAATTTAAGTTATTAATTAAAAATGTTACTGCCTGATATATTAACAATCTTATTATTTTACAAAGTTTCTACCCTTATAAACTACTTACAACATTGCAATTCTTCTAAACTAATTTAATAGAAATTAAAAGAAAAAAACAACGAAAATTATATACATAAAATGTATTTACACAAAATATACTGCATATTTACAAATAATCAAACATAAAACTAACAAAAACACAGTTCCTTTCACATTTCTTCATTGATATAATGATCGTCTTGGTCTACGTCATCCTCATCTTCTTCTACTAATGTTGCACTTATATTAAAATCCTCGCCAAGTACAAGTGAAATTGCAATTTAATCCGCACCGTTTGAGAATTAACAAAAATCATTTTATGAAGTTTGTCAGGTGCAGGCGGTTTGTGCAATGACCCTTCCTTCCAGAACCACCTCCATCTGTTGGTTTAATTCTTTCCAAGCCACTGTTGGATTTGAAAATAACTTTAGACACACGAAGACACATGAGCATAGGTTTTCTTCCCTCTATAAAAATCTTGAAATAAATGTGAAAATTTTGTTTCTTAAGTTTTCATGCACACCAGTCACTATATGAAACACGCTTAAACGGGATCAAAACTTGTTTTTTTTTTACTTTTTGACGTTTCGCATCCTTTTCAGGCTGCGTCGTCACAATATTCTGAACAACGAATCTGGCATTCAGCGAAAAGTCGTAGAACTTTAGAATAAATTATGCTATGAAATGGGATATAAGAATTTATTGAAAAAAAAATTGTTTTCTAAATCCTTCATTTTTAATGATAGAAAGTTTTTTTCAAGCATCGTTTTACAGGGTTTTCATGAGCTATAAGGATATCTGAATTAAATCTCTTTAAACTATTTTGGTTTTGAAATGGCGTCAGTTTAAAGGGCTCGTATAAGGTGGTGCTGGCTCGTAAATAGAGGCTTTAAACGGCCATATCTCGCCAAATATTTATTTTCTAGAAAATCCACGCAAAGCAAAATCTTTGTAATCAAAACATCTACAAATCATTACTCTAGCTTATTTTGCGTCATTCCAGTATTTTTGGAACAAATGGAGGGCAACCTAGCAAGTGCAATAACGAGGTATTTTAAAGCAACCACTTTTCAATTCCACTTGATGGTTTAATTATACCATTTAGTGCTTTGCTAGTTCACTTAAACGCATGTCGCATACTTAATTATGTAGTCACAAAACAGTACAAAGCTCTCCTCGCCCCGACAGTGTTTGAGCGATAGAATTTCGAGAATTCGCAAAGTGAATTCAATAGCAATGGTAATTGGCCAGTCGGAAGCCGAAATGAATTCAAAACCTACGCACGATACGTACTAGCGATACAGAAATTCAATTAACGAAATAGCCATATAGCATCCTGTTTAACATTCATATAACTATTACGAGGGCTAATGCCTATTTGGGGAATCCGAACATTCAGATGGTGTCAGCAGTTTTATCTTATATCCGGACTATAAGCATAGCTGATTAGTCGTTTTCGTGCTGAATAATAATCATAGAAATATTTTATATTATTAGGTGTACTACCCTATCATCTATGAATGTTTATTAAAATAAGTTTATCGTATAGTTTTGGAATAAACTAATTACATCAAGGCTTGCAATTTGATGTCAGGTATATTATATGCATGAATATATGAGAATGCCATACTGGCATTAAGTCCGCCATTTGCATTGTAAAGGCAATAAAGATTAAATAAATAAATAAAAAAAAAATATATAATTTTATTAACTACTAGTGGATAGCCCTTGCTGCGCTTTAGTGTAGACTAAAGTTTTAACTTTAATATATAGCCTATATTGTGCTGTGTTTCGCCGAGTGAGTGAGGCTACCAGAGCCCCCCCCCCCTTTTCCTCATGATGGCGCAGTTATATAGGATAATACCCCAGGGGGGTACCAGCTGTTTTCACGCTGGAGAATCCCCCTCTGGACGTGATTATCATGTTCACCCGTATCTTCACCGAACACCGCGCACTAATCACAACAATCCGCGCGCTCACCATCCCCTCCTCTTAATGGCGTCCTCAAGGATCAAACCGCGATCCCTCAAGTTCGCGTTCTTCAACGCTAACGGTCTCTCCAGTCAGAGTGCGGAAATTGCAAAATTTTTAGTAGATCACGCGATAGATATATTTTTAATACAAGAAACGTTTTTAAAACCGTCCATTCGTGGCCCGCGCATTGCCAACTACAACTTAGTCCGGAACGATAGAGATGGCCGCGGCGGTGGCACTCTCATCTACTACAAGCGGTCTCTCCATTGTTCCCCGCTAGTCCCTCCCACTCTGACTGATCTAGAAGCCTCCGTCTGTCGGCTAGGCATGACCGGGCATCGATCGGTCACGATTGCTTCAGCTTACCTGTCCCCCAACAAAAACCTCACCTAACCAGACCTAGAGGCCCTGTTTGCTATGGACGACGCCGTCATTATTGCCGGCGACCTCAATAGCAAGCATGTGCAGTGGAGTTGCAACACAACCAACCGTAATGGCAGGTTGCTTTCCAACTTCTCTGACATTATGGTGTTTGACATCATAGTGCCCCTCACACCCACCCACTTCCCCTCCCAAGCAGGTCACGCTGAAAATCCCCAAGACATGGCCTTACTAAAGTACGTAGCCCTTAGGCTGCGTTCGATAGAAACGGTTCATGAACTCTCCTCCGACCACCGCCCAGTTGTTTTACAATTGGGTCCTCCCTCTGACCTCCCATCCTCAAGGACAGTGACGAACTGGAGGAGGATCGAGAAACTACTCGAACCCTCCGCCAGCTCGCCACTCAACTCCATCCCCGACCACATAAACTCCACTCAGGACACCCTCTCTGCGATCGGAGCCCTCTCGAGCCATCTCACTTCCGCAATAAGCGAGGCGTCCCGACAGGTTCCAGCGATGCCAGACCATCGCTGCAACCTACCGGACGACGCTAGAGAGCTGTTAAGGGCAAAGAACGCCGCCACTAGGGCATTCGACACCTACCCCACGGACGACAACTGCTCCCGATTGCGTACCTTGCAGCGTGCTGTTAGGGCGCGCATGAAGGAAATGCGGGAATCTAAGTGGGATGAACTGCTTGAAGAGATCTCGCCATCACACCAAGCTTATTGGATGCTGGCGAGATCCTTCAAGTCAGAGGTCGAATCCTCTATGCCTCCCCTGACCAAACCTGACCGATCGATCGCGTTTAACGACGACGAAAAGGCCGAGTGCCTGGCCGACAGCCTGGAGGCGCAGTGCTCGCCTAGCACCCTCCCAGTCCCCCTCGAACACGTACAGTTAGTCGACTCGGAAGTCGAAAAGTCCTCCTCCGTACCGCCCGCCGCCACACTTGAGCCGGTCACAGTAGACGAGGTGTAATCCGTAAACTGCGCCCGCGTAGCGCCCCCGGGTCAGACGGAATCTCTAGTAAGGTCCTTAAGATCTTACCCGCCCAACTCCTTTGCCTTATCACTGCTATCTTTAACGCGGCTATGTGAAACGCGATATTTCCCTCGGAGTGGAAAGAGGCCGTCGTTATCGGGATCCGGAAACCCGGTAAGGACGGCGCCTTACCCTCTAGCTACCGCCCTATTAGTCTCCTCAAAACACTGGGGAAACTCTACGAACGAGCCCTCGCTAG